AGCGTATTAGTTAATAACTATTTTGCCTATATGCCATTACATTTAAGTAATTTGCGAACGTGAGTACCTATTCCGTATCTTTGCCATCTTGGTTAAGTTATGATCCGAGTTTGAAACGCGTATGTTGTTGAAGACCGCCACTTCCGTCTGAAGAGGTTGGCCATTTAAATACCATACCTGGTAAAGAAGCAGATTACGAGTAGGGCGACGCCCTTCAGGCATTAATCAACTAATTATATACCGAGCCCTGCGGCTTGGGAGGTTTCTTTTCCTCTTCTTTTGATTGGATGCGAGAACTAAGCTCAATTCGTGGCGTCAACATCTACCTTTATCCCAAGGTAAGGGTTGGCTTATATGTTTTACTTGTACTTGGACCTATACATGCGAATTTTTGCCTGAAGTATCAATTTATTAGTTTCTGAAAAGTTGTTTTGCTAATCGATTATTCTTGATTGGGGTTTCTTAATTTGGGGAATTTCAATTGTATGTACATTGAAGTTAGTAGGAGTTGTGAGTAGCGTAACATATAATTTCATTTTGAATATTTGTGTGATACGTTATCCACTTTTTATGTTTGCTACTAATATTTGGTGTTTGAATAAATTAGTATTTCTTTTGGTACCTAAATTGATTTATACGGTTATTATTACCCTCGAATCTTCTCAATTTCATACGGGGAGAGTTAAGATAGATATTGAGTGGCACTCAACCCCATTGGTAAGTGCAACGGAGTGAAGAAGATCAAATGCCCAGAACGAACTGCCACTGTGGAAGATCTCAAACTCTTATTTTTGTTCCAACACTGAGCTAATTGGCCGTGTATGGGGCGAGTTTGGGGAAACTCAGCGCCAACTCTGCCAACCGTTATAAATGGGTCTGCTTACATGCCAGCCCATATTGATGGATTACCGCTACATTCATTGAAACGGAGGGCATTCAATATGAATATTGTAACGGAAACGCTCCAGCCATGACGTCGCCTTTGGCGCTCTGGAATTTTCTACGCGCGCGATAGTGGGATTTGTATAGGAATATTCGCGACTTATCCGGTAATTACGCGAGTGTTCTGGACTTACATTGCTTGCGTGTATAAATGGTTGCGGACCGAACATCGCAGGGAGTTTTACTACCGAACGAGATCGAGTACGGTCGAAACATTGAGCGCGAAAATCTGATATAAATTGCGAAGTGTGATATAAATAGTCGATATAAATTGTACAGTTTTTATAGTGTTTTAGTTTTGTTTAATAAATATTGATATAAATCGAACCCGAATTTATAAATCACGTTACATTGGTGTCAGGTGTGGGATTAATTAAATTAATTAAAAGTAAGATTAAATTAAGTACTTCTGCTTGTGTATGCCTGTAACAAGATCTGCTGCCGCTAAAATGGAAGAAACGATGCTCAATTTGCTCCAGCAAATCCAAAATGGCCAACAGGTGTTGCAACAAGAAATGAAAAGCAACCAAGAGAAGATGGAAGAAAATGCTAGAAATTTTGAAGAGAAGATGGAAGAAAATTCTAGAAATTTTGAAGAGAAGTTCGAGAAAATGGAAGAAAATTCTAGAAAGATTAATGAAGAAAATTCTAGAAATATTCAAGAGAAGTTGGAAGAAAATTCTAGAAATTTTGAAGAGAAGTTCGAGAAAATGGAAGAAAATTCTAGAAATATTCAAGAGAAGTTCGAGAAGATTGAGGAAAATTCTAGAAAAATGGACGAGAAGTTCGAAAAGATGGAGGAAAATTCTAGAAAGATTATCGAAGAAGTTGAAGAAAAAGTTGAAGATAGAATTACGGAAGTTTCCAAAACATTTAAAGCAACATTCGTTGAGATTGAGCACAAGTATGAAGAGCTGCGCGAGCAATTCTTGCGACTGACTACGGAAGAGCGTACTAGTAGTGCCCCAGATGAATTACTGATGGACCGTCTTCTTGAGGTGCCACAGCCTACTCATTACAAGAAGGTCGACCCAGAAACAAATACAAGAGTAGAAGGCGACGTTCAGCAAGCCCGAGTAAAGCCACCTACTTTTGATGGTAAGATTCCTTGGACCACGTACGTTCGACAGTTTGAAGCAGCGGCTGCGGCAAATAAATGGACTCTTCAAGACAAAACTACAGCCCTGATTCTTGCTCTGAGAGGAGATGCTCTGGATGTGTTGCGGACCATCCCCGAGGATCAACAGAACTTCCAACAAATAGTAGCGCGACTCGAAATGCGATATGGCGATAAACACCTTCAGCAAGTTTACTTTGCCCAAGTCAAGAACCGAATGCAGAAACCTGGAGAAAGTTTGCAGGAACTTGAAGCGGACATCGCTAGACTGATTCGATTGGCATACCCTACGGCACCGGAGAGCTTTCTTGATCAACTGACTGTACAAACATTTATCGATGCCGTTCGTGATGGAGATGCCCAGCAGGCTTTGAGCCTGGCAAGGCAAGACAAAATTGAGAAAGCTTTGGCCCATGCGTTAGAATTCGAAGCCGCCAAGAAAGCTAGTCATGGAAGTGCGCGAGTACGTATGGTGGAACCTCGCAGTGACAGCCGGGTAAGAACCATCGAAGAGGAAGGTGGCTCTGAAAGTTTTGAAGAAAATGTCAGTAAAGTAGTGGTAGAAAAGGTCAGTAAAGTAATGGAAGAAAAGGTCAATAAAGCAATACAGTCACTGGCAAAGAAACGTGAACCACGGCGAGATTGGACACGTTCGCCGCAACTGCCAAAAACCATTGCAGCAGTCGGAAAACTAAGAAAGGTCGACAGGAAGGGGCTATCGTCGACCTGCAGAAACAAAGCCCCGATCTTCACTGTAAACATTACGTCGTCTGGAAAAGTTCACAATAATGCAGACGCTTTATCAAGAAGACCGTGCAAGGACAACTGCACACATTGTTCTAAAATAGAAGACAAGATTGGCCATCTGCGACTAACAACTGTAGAGAGTGAGGAATGGAAGCCAAGCGAAATCAAAACGGCCCAAGAAAACGACCCAAGTATAAAAACTGTTCTGAATTGGATGCGCCACGGACAAAGATCAGGCTGGCAAGACATTAGTACCACAAGTCCTGAAGTAAAGAGTTATTGGGGCCAATGGAATAGCCTGACTCTGAAAGACAACCTGTTGTATAGGACACTTGAAAGTGAAGATGGCACCGAATCGACGCTGCAATTAGTAGTACCTAGAAGCAAAGTGTCGGAAGTATTGCGAAAATTGCATGACGGCGCTTCCGGAGGACACTTTGGTATTACGAAAACGTTGCTAAAGGGTACGTGAGCGATTCTATTGGGTCAACCGTAAAGAAGATGTCCGGCGATGGTGTCAAAAATGTGAGTTATGTGCTACTGGAAACGGACCAGTTTCCAAGAAGAAGGCACCCATGAGGCAGTGTAACGTTGGTAGTCCGATGGAACGAGTTGCTATCGATATCGCAGGACCGTTTCCCGAGACAGATGGCGGAAATAAATATATCCTAGTCGCTATGGATTATTTCACAAAGTGGACTGAAGCTTACGCCATTCCAAACCAAGAGGCAGCAACAGTTGCAGAAGTGTTGGTAAAAGGAGTTCTTTACACGTTTTGGTGTTCCTATAGAAATCCATTCAGACCAAGGAAGGAACTTTGAATCGGCTTTGTTCCAAGATGTTTGTCGATTGGTAGGAGCCAATAAAACCAGAACAACACCTTTGCATCCTCAGTCAGATGGAATAGTTGAGAGAATGAATCGAACGATGGGTAAATATCTTTCAAAAGTCGTGGCAGAACATCAGAAAGATTGGGACCAGTACCTCCACCTGTTCCTTATGGCATATTGATCAGCCGTTAACGAGACCACGGGTCAGACTCCTGCCTGCCTTATGTTGGGTCGTGAACTACGCCTTCCATGTGACCTCGAGTTTGGGCGTAAACCCCATGAAGAATATGTCGCAGGTGAAAATTATGTTGACCAACTAAAGACGAAGATGAACGATATTCACGACTTGGCTAGAAGTCATATTCAGATTGCCAGCGATCGCATGAAAAATCAATACAACCTCCGCTCGGCCAATGAAACTTTTGAAGCTGGAGATCTGGTATGGCTGCACAATCCACAAAGGCGAAGAGGTCTTTCTCCCAAGCTACAAAGACAATGGGAAGGTCCGTATGAGGTGATCAAGAAAATAAATGACGTGATATATCGTATCAGAATATCTCCGAAACGAATCAATAGAATTTAAAAAGCAAAGCAGATTAGTAATCACGATTAAATCGGCTTTCAAATAATGTGCCATTTGCCATAGGATTCCATTTAAAATTTTAGGGGTAAAGCTCCCTACGTAGAGGGGTGAAGACTTGGGTTCGTGATTTGTATTCCAAAAGTTGTCCCCCTCGAATACAAAATTGACGTGTTTGAGGATTTTTCGAAATTTCTAAATTTAATACCCTAAAAGCCCTCTGTATACTTCTCGTTGGGCCACTCTGTATATGAAAATCTAGCTATTCAATTGCAGCCAGTTATGATTGTATTGTTTTAAATTTGGGCACTAATCCTAAAAACGCAGGTACACCTTTCAAAAGAACTTAATTATTTACGAAAGCATCATTTGACTGTGTTTAACTTGTTTCGTTAGGAATCGTTCCATTCGACGAGCTGCATAAGTGTCCTAATTAGAAAAAAAATACGAAATTTGCCCTAGGGTTTTTACGTGAGCGACAATATCGACAGAAATGCAAAGTTGGCTACACGTCAGCGCGATGGAAGCGAGGTCTATTGCTCCTACTAACGCATCTGAATAAATAATTTTCCTACATTCAGTTAAATAACTGATCCCATTAGAACGCATAAAGGTTCTACGTGGTAGCTCGACTTTATGTAGTCGATACAATCACGTCGAGTATGTGCTGTAAATGTAGCACATGAGCAAATACTAACTAAATGGAAATACATCCAAAATATGACCACCGAATTTTTTTTAATCTGAGGGTCCCCAGATAGAAATAGTAAATTAAATTACTTACAATTCATGTCCAATGTAACCGAGCTTGAAATAGGAGTAACTAATTCATTGTTGGTAGCTTGACATGTAAAAACTCGATGTAGATCCCTCCTCTCCAGTTGTTCCAAATGCAAGATGTTTCTTACTCGTCTAGCTGTGAGAGGTTCAAACGATTCATCCAGTAACGCATTTTCTTGCCACCACGTAACTTCCGGCAGAGGTCTGCCTAAATGAGTTAAATTGAATAAATTAGTTAACTTCTTCAAACAGATTACTTGTATTTATATTATAAATTCTATACGTATTTGAAGTAATTGGAAAAGTTCTTACCCCCTGTGGCTACGCATGTAATATTGACGGAGGCTCCCTCATTGTAAGGTCCAAGAATATAATGAGGGATATGAACTCCTCTTTCATCTAAGATACTCAATTTCTCCGGAGGAACTACAAATAAAAGGAATTTATTAAAGCTAAATAATATTAAACGAGCAGCGTAAGCTCGAACGCAAAATTGGACGATTATGTGATAAAAGATGAAAGGCAAATAAATTAGCTACCATGTAAAAATTTTCATTTCATCTGCTTTGTTTTTTATTCGCTTTGAAACCCAAATGTAAAAAAAATACTTACTTATAACGGTTAGGTTAACTTTAATATTTCTCGTAGGGGTTTGCCTAAAATCGACCCTACATTGATAAATTCCACCATCGCTCTCCTTAACGCTGTCCAGGGTTAGTTTAGCGGGTTCGTCCTGATACCGGAAGTAGGCGCGCCCTCCTAAGATGTGCTCGTCCGACCAATGCTTTCCTTGTTTCAGTTGTTTATCGCGAGAATCGAAACTGGAATAGCAGAAAAAGTCTACAATTTAATTTGTCAGATATACAAAAATACAAGCGAAATAATATTCTTTCCAAGAAAAAGTTTGTTTTTCGGCAGTATCTTAAAAAACTGAATTATGCTACTGTCGGTTCGTTTATTTTTGATACGTATATAAAGTATACCTACGTATATATTGGCACTGGCTTGCTTTTAATGCCCTCTTTGTACCATATGACGATGTGCATTTTATCACCTTTAACAGCTGGTGTAATATCACAAGGCAATTTCGCTACACCCCCTTGAACGGCGTCCACATGATGTATCACGTTTACTGTAACAAAAATACTTGAATTAAAAAACATTCTTTTATACGGCTCAATTCAAAAATGAAAACGTCGCGTAGGCGACCTTGCACAAAAATTCCTATTTCCGGCAGCGGACCGGCTAAAAGAACGGGACAGAATGAAAAATCAATCATTCTAACCCTAAGGGATCGTAAATTTGTACCCACTACAAAAGGAACACTTCAGACTATCTACTTTCGCTTTGATCACAAACGCGATGCCTTATAATAAAATAGGTTGGTTTAGGACGATATATACATAACAATATATTATCTTCTGCTTGCAAAGCAAATTTTATTATTATCTATCTCATGTTGCGTATCCGTTTTAGTATGTGGCAATTTGGCAGTTTGAAAAAATGAAGTATTCGACCCAAAATATACGTACATTCTGAATCCCGAATCCTGCATATAAATAGGCGTAGTATCAGAAATTTAGTGTAGCTACACCAGTAGTTTTATTGTAAGTTATGGCGTATGGTCACTTTAGAGATGTAACAGTAGGTACTAGCGCATATTCTATAGGAACATTCAATTACAGGGGGAACGGTTGCACAGTTAACATGCAAATAACAATCTCGGCTATAATTTAAACCATACATTTTGGGTGAGAATTCCTTAAAATTTGATATCAGTTATTCTCCACGATAAGGTTTAATTAAATAGGTATTGTGTTCAATTCGAATACACTGGTTATTTATTATTAACGAAATGTGGCTATAAGTGGTGCTTTTATTTTACAAATTTGGCGTTTCTCGGAGCTTGATAGGAATATCAAACAGGGAACAATTTAGTGGTGACCCCTGTTGGACACCTCATTCTCTACTACACGCTCTTTTGAATAGGCGTCACCGACTTTGACAACAAATGTTCCAGCTGCAAAAAGAGGCTATTTTCGCGGATATTGTATTTACCTAACTAATTTTACAATACCCTATACCTCCAAGATTAGTCATGTCAAACGTACTCCTTCAACTTAAAAAACATCCCAACCCCACCGTATATTTGTGAAGTCGACCAGCTTTGCTGAACACCCGGTAACTAGAAGAGTTTTCCGGGTTTTTATTTGGTTTAATTTAAGTTATCAGTTTTGCGATTGCAATATCAAAATTGTTTTACAGCCGCCGAAAGCTCTCTTGCCAGAAGAAAGAGGAGGCAAATTAATATTTTTGAATTTCAGACACGATAAGCCATTATTATCAGGTTTTGTTTTCTATGGTAAATTTAGAGCGAGCATTGGAACGATAAGGTAAAATACCAGGTCATATCGATGATGTCTCCGTTTGACCTGCGAATTCCAATTAACAATGGGGGGTTATTGGTATACGAATTTGGAGATTTCATTCCGACTAATTGGATAAGTATAATTAAGAATTGACATTTAAATGGGTTACAGAAAACCCGTCCGTTTGAGCTGGGCTTTATTTCAAAGGAAGCGCGTTTAAAAAATTTGTAGTCTCACATCGGTCCCATATTTTTTCGATATCGGCGGAAAGGAGTAATTAATTAAATAGTTTAATTTAGTTGGACGTTAAGTCACACAGACTTAACAGGAGTGCCACCCATACGATACGATACCGCTTATGCATAAAGTTCCCACACCGGATTCATTGGATTCGACTTTTAGCAACTTTTTAGCTACTACCGGCCCGTTAACTTCAAGGTGACCTTTTTGTTACTTTCCATTCCACTAATTTTAAAGGGGCAGGTGGAGATATTGTTCACTGTCCCGCAATTGCCTTTCCGCCGATTTATGTTGTGTTGCTTTCTTTCTTTCCCGCTAGGAAGTGTGCCGTTTTGTTTTGTTTTCCGAAGTGACAGCCGCCATTTACTGGAACCATTCGACTCCTGGCTGGCGTTTCTCCAGTTGCGGATGCAAGACCGTTCGCTTGGTGGCGCCCGAGTCCGTCCGTTCAGTCGTTTTCTGCCGCCCGTCCGCCGTTTTCTGTCAACAAAACTGGTTGTCGCCGATTGCAGATACTAGACATGTTAATCACAATCATGTGTACATTTATATTTTTTTAAAGTAAATTGTAAGTATTATTCAGCTAATTACTCCACTTTCAACAGCTCGCCGATTATGCGCGAACCCCAAGTCCGTCGTACTGCACGATTAGACTAATTATCGTTCTGACATTTCGGAGACCTGTAAATTGCCAATCCGCAAGTGCAGAGCAATGTGGAATTTTATTCATATAAAAAATAATTCGATTCGAGCTGAAGCGTTTCCCTAGTACCCGGTTAAAGGTCCACACAAACCGACGCGGACATGCAGACGCGGGGGCGGTACGGATGCGGGAAATATTTCTACAGCGGTATATGCGTGCGAACCGTCGCATCGGTGCGCGTGCTCGCATATCCCGCTGTAGAAATATTTCCCTCATGCGGTACCGCTCCCGCGGCCGCATTTTCGCGTCGGTTTACGTACACCTTAACGGGAGTTAAGTGAAGTTACGAAGTATCATCGTTTGGTGTCTGTGTTTGTTCATCAGTTATAGAAAGCGCATTTGGATTATTCACACTAAGCTAATTAAGATTTCTTTAATTAATTGTTTCAATCGATCGCTTGTAGCATGGTATGTGTATTCTGGCCCCGAGTGCCAATGTTTATTTCAGCCTTATTTGATTGGTTTTGTCTAATGAATTTGCTTCATTGGTAAATGTTCTATGTTGTGTTTAATTGAACCCAAATTACGGCCTAGATAAGAGTTCTCGTGTTAAATTTTCTTTAACCGCAATGCAGAATCATGTTTAATACCGTTATGCTATTGTTTGTAATTGTTTACGTTTTTGGTGTAATGCTTGCTTAATTTATGTTTATTGATGTTGATTACTTGGTCTTGTCCCTGAAGTAACATTCATGTTTTGATCATTTTATTTTAATATGTGGAAATTACCGATTCGTTTGATGTATGTACTGACTTGTTATTTGTAACTAACATTTGAATGAAGCAGTCACGGGAGTGGTAAAAACTGTAGTCAAAATTGAGCTACGACACCTAATTCCGTGATTGTCTTCGACATTCAACTGTAGGCTCGAAACCCCGAACGAGGGGGGCGACGCTACCTATCTTGCGGGGCGAGATTACGCTAATCAAAGCTCTTCAGTTTAGAATCTCGTGCGATAAATGAGTGGCTACTCAAGAATTTCCACATATTTCGTCTTTCGTTAAATTTGCCTACAAGACCATGTAACTTTCCACCATTGCACCAAACATGAGTCACATCCTGTGACAGGTGCTTAATTGAAATATATATATTGAAAATATAAGTACATAAATATTTACATATTAGTGAATTACATCATGCCCAAGATGCGTAAGCAAACGCTTGCCTGCACCTTGAAATTAAGAAATTAAAAATGTGTAATATAGTTGTTTGGAATCGTGCCGTTGATATTAAAGCTCTATTCAAGTTATCGAGATTTTTAAAAGGGGCGGATGCTGGACCTGCCATGAAAAAATTATAATTATTCTCATAAACGATTTTAGTAGTTATTTAGTACCCGTGTAGTTATTGAGTTAGCTGGACAGGTGCTTGTGGGCGGTGTAGTGGCCGTTTGCCATTGCAGACAGCAATGTAGTATTCACTATAATAAAACAAGCAGATGTTCTTTTCTGAATCGTAACGACACTTAATCAATTTAATAATTAACTTCGTTTTTCTTAGTTACTTTTAAGAATGAAGTAAATGTATTATGATTAAGGATTTTGGACGTGCACAATGTTCAATTTCCGCTTTGTTAAGCAATCAACCATGGGATACTTTCTCATGACCCGAATTAGTGAACTTGTCACTGTTTTCTCCGTTTTCTTATTCGGATTTCTAAGAAAACACAAAAATTACAATATCCCAACAACTCTTCACATTTCTCTAAGGCATGTTTGGCTAAAACAACTATATTAATGTATACGTTTATGAACAAATCACCCTGTATAATCAGTAAGAAAAAATTACTATACATGTACCTACATTAATTCACAGTCATCCTGTTATTCCCGAAATTAGATATCTAAACGTATTTACGTGAAGAGTTATTTTCATAGGATTCCTTATATGATTAACCCCGTTTCTTTTTACGTTATGCCATTTGTTGTTGTTGTTTAATTACCTTCCTTTAACCTATATCGCAATCCGAAACCCAGTTATTAATGCAGTGCAGTTTTTTGGATGCATCTTTTTCTGCACGTAACGATCATTGGGGTGGTCGGATTAAAGAAGTACCGTGGTTCTGGATGAAACGCCAAAAGCCAGTCCACATGTAATTGGAGCAAACTGCATATCTTCACACACCAACTTAAAAGTTTCCTTTTGGAGAAAACATCTTATACGGTGGAAGAATTCATCAACTAAGTGTCATGTTTGTGAATGCAATGTTGAAATGCTGAGAATTGTAATGCCTGTGTAATATCTGTTTTGTCTACACGTTTATATTTTAATGTTTATTAATTGACTCAAAAGACGTTCCTAAAATCACTGTAAAGGAAGACGCTTATTCATGAAACAAAGTCAAAAGCGCTATAAAAAGGAGAAATTTCCACCAAATGTACAACTTGTGGGAATCCACTGGTTTGCGCTAACATTTTGCAATGAACTAGTAGTAATATTTGATTAATTGTAAAGCGGCTCTTGTGTAAGCAAAGTTCTGCTAATTGCTGTTATAGAGAAAACGATAATTTGGAAATATCAACAGCAGAATGGTTTGTTTCGGGGTGTTATTTATCAATTAAAATTTTATGAGAAAATCGGTCGCCCTATGGAAACGTAACAAAACAGACCGAATAGTAGCGTATTTCACAGCATGCATGAATTAATCTCAATAAATTTTCTTGTTTAAAAATTTGGCTGTGTTGGAGTTGAACTTATTAGTGCAATTCAAAATAAATTAAGTAAAATATACTTAAGGTACAGTCAGTCATTTGCAACAGAATCACTTTTACGTGCTTTATCGTAGCACGAACAGAATATTTATTGTCTTTAAATCACCA